CTGCATATATTTCATATAGAAAACCCGCCTATAGGACTTCATAATTTCTGCATTTTCGCATTTAGGAAATCTGCCTATAGGACCTTTTATAATTTTGCATTTCAGCATCTAGAAAGCATGCCTATAGGTCTTTCGGTATTTCTGCATGTATACGCCACTAGGCAAACAACTTTAGGCTTAATAATAACCAATTAATTTAGAGATCATGTCTATAGGATTATTGCAACTGTAAAATCAATGACACTTAGAAATCATGCCTATAGGATCAAATTAACTGAATCAGCCTCGTTTTGAATCTAAAATCAGTCTTAAAATCTACAGATCCCTTTTCTAAAATCAATAAACTCTTCTTTAAAATCAGTATACTCCTACATTGTTAGATATCCTGCCTATAAGTTTCACCTAGGAAAACCAGTAGGTAATTGATTAACTGTATCAGTTTTGATAACTACATCTAGTCAAGGCTAATTCGGACTCCTCATCTGAGAAATATGCGATGAATCAGCCTATCCTACGCCTTAATTTAATTAAAGACCTAACGAGTATCTGAAGTCATGCTATGTATTCGCATTTAAGTGAGGAGGCCTGTCTGAGCCCTAATTGATGTTTGTCTCCCCCTATTTGACTATATGTTTTGATTGTCGCCTAGATTTTTATCCTTTCTTGAACTTCTGAAAATCCCCAATTCCCTTCCCTTTAGGACTAGTAGTTCCAATGCCTCCGGAACTGGTAGGATCGGGACGAGTAATAGCATGCAATAAGTAACGATACCATTCCGCGCTTTAATACCTTAACGCGGTGGGAAGGGTAGACATGGAGATGATGATCACGCGATAACACCATGCGTACGATTGGCTACCGGTGTTGTGTGGATGATCCATGTATTTTACAAACCTAGGACCCCCTTCCTTTATGTAATTATTTTAGATTGACAATTTTCAGTTCTTTAAAAGTCTGCATTTTGTTTCAGTCATTAAAACTTCCCCTTAATTTTTGCACTGTCCTCTTCTTCTAATTAAAATTTTCTGCTCACCCACTTCTGTATCTGATTGTTTATATTCATTATTTGGTCCTTTTCTATTGCACTTAGACATTCTTTCAAACAACTAGGAAATCACCTAGTCCCTAATTTCAGCATGTTTAGTAACCATTATACATATCTACTCGAGGTCTTTATGTGAAATTGTCTTGTGTGCTTACTTGCTTTAAAGTCACAATTGTAGCATGGCCGAGAACCACACTAGTGGATCTTGAGGGGTGCCTAACACCTTCCCCTCGAGATAATTTCTAGCCCATATCCAAACTCTGGTTTTCCAACTCAAACCCTTCTTGGTATCCTAATGCACTTAATCATTAGGTGGCGACTCTTCAAGCTCCAAAAACCCAATTCCCAAAGGGGAAAAGAGTTGTCCGCCCAAATATCGTAAACCCGATTTCGCGAGAAAAAGGGGGCGTCGACACCTATTCCCTGTGGGATTCGACCCCAACCTTGTTGGGTTGTTATATTTGACACCGACCGCCTTACACTATTTATTTTAGTGTAACACCTAGCTTATTGGGAATAGCTAATTTATAATGAACAACTCGGAACTTACAAGAACATCGTGGGATTTAATTCTAAGAGAGAAAGCTAGCCAACATACCTCACCTTGAGCTTCCTTAAATTGCTACAATGTTTTGGAAATCTTCCACTTTGATCTATCTGGAAATATAAAAAAATTGAACACAAATTAGGAAGGAGTTTATGGTTCCAGGTCATTTGAGCATTTTATCAAACGTTAGGTGGGCATTATGATTTCAAGGTCCTTCTATGGTGGATTCCTTCACCCCACTACCCAAAGTCTACCCAATTAAGCTCAACAATCCTCCCACAAACCCTTGATAGTACATTATGCGACCACATATGTGTTATGCGATGGGTTAGTGACTGAGCATTGCAAACTAACTGTGCGATAGGTTCTGCAGTCGCATAATCATTATGCGGGCAGCAGAAAGCACATTTTTACCACATTTTTGAAGGCCCAGATTGCATTTTTTCTGCTTGTGTCTGCAAGCATTTTGCGTCCGCAAATCCATTATGCAGCCGCAGAATACGGGTCTTGCTTTCCTTCATTTTCCTCTGCCCTTGCATCCTATTTCATTGTGTTTTGGGTCACTTTGCATTCTAACACACATGTCGAACTGCTCAACACTTACAATTAAACTTGCCTAAATTAAAATCTAACCAAAAGTGTTACCACACATGGGTTGCCTCCCAAGAAGCGCGTTATTTAGCGTCGCGACACAATGATGTGGCCCCCATTTTGGCTAAACATTTGTGGGGGTTAGTGTAGGATCGTCTTTGAGTGCGTATTGTTCCACCAAGTGCCTTTCTCCACTGGTTCCGAGGTAATGCTTGACCCTTTGGACATTTACTTTGAAAGTTAGAGTCCCGTCCTCGGATTCCAATTCAATGGCACCATAGGCCAGACCATTTAGATTTGAGTTTGCCCGAAAAGAGCTTCAATCTTGAGTTGAAGAGTATGACCAAGTCACCGAATTTGAATTCTCACTTCAAAATCTTCTTGTCATGAACAAACCTCATCCTTTCCTTATACATGGCCGCATTCTCATAGGCATGAAAACAGAATTCTTCCATCTCGTTGAGTTGAGTCATCCTTAGATTAGCAGCTTCGTCCCAGCCAAGATTTAACTTTTTCAATGCCCACATAGCTTTGTGTTCAAGGTCCACTGGCAAGTGACATGCCTTACCAAAAACCAACCGGTATGGTGAGGTGCCAATGGGAGTCTTGAATGCTGTTCGATATGCCCACAATGCATCATCTAGCTTCTTTGACCAGTAAGTCCTGTTTGCATTCACAGTTTTTGCTAGGATGTATTTTATCTCCCTGTTGGAAACTTCCACCTAACCGCTCGACTGAGGATGATAAGGGGTGGCCACCTTGTGCTTAACTCCATATTTTTCTAGCAGCCTGGCAAAAGCTTTGTTGCAAAAATGAGAACCACCATCACTAAGGATGTCCCTTGGGGTTCCATACCGCGTAAAGATGTTGTTCTTCAAGAAAACTCTTTCACTCCTTGCCTCATTGTTCGGCAAGGAAACTGCTTCGGCCAATTTGGAGACATAATCTACTACCTCCAAGATATATGTCATGCCGTAAGAGCTTATAAAGGGACCCATAAAATCTATCCCCCACACATCAAAGATCTCTACCTCCATCACAAAGTTCATAGGCATCTCATGTCTCCTGGAAATTGACCCTTGTCTTTGACATTGATCAAAGGCTTTGACCATTTGGTTTGTATCTTGGTAGATCGATGGCCAATAATAGCCACATTCAAGTACTTCTGCCACAGTATGATTTCCACCATGATGGCCCCCAACTGGGGAATCATGACATGCTTTGAGAATTTGCATTACCTCATCTTCTGGAACACAACGCCGAGTGATGTTGTCGGTGCAAATCCGGAACAGAAAGGGTTCCTCCCAATAATATTGCCTACACTCCCACAAGAACTTCTTCTTTTCATAAGCTTCCAATCCGTCGGGGATAAGGTCACTAACCAAGAAGTTAGCGATGTCGGCATACGAAGGAGTGAAGGTGCTAGACAATGCCAATATGTGTTCATCTGGGAAGGAATCATCAATTTCAACATCTTCCTTTGGTCTCCCTGCCTCATCAAGCCTAGAAATGATCCGCAACTTTATTCTCTCTTCCTTTCCAATCTTTGACTTCAAAGTCAAACTCTTGTAACAAAAGAACCCACCTAATCAATCTTGATTTAGCATCCTTTTTCGCCATATGATAGCGGAGAGCAGCATGATCAGTGTAGACTATCACTTTGGAACCCAACAAATAGGCCCGGAATTTTTCAAAAGCATAGACAATAGCAAGCAGTTCTTGCTCCGTCATGGTGTAATACATTTATGTGCCATTTAGTGTCTTGCTTGCATAGTAAATAGGTTGAAGAATCTTGTTATGTCGTCGACCAAGTACCGCTCCAATGGCTACATCACTGGCATCACACATGAGTTCAAATGGGAGGACCAATCAGGTGTGACAATAATAGGTGACGTGGTAAGCCTTGCTTTCAATTCCTCAAATGCTTTGAGGCATTTCTCATCAAACTCAAACTTCACATCCTTTTCAAGGAGCTTGCACATGGGACTTGCAATTTTTGAGAAATCTTTGATAAATCGCCTATAAAAACCATCATTCCCCAAAAAGCTCCGAACACCTTTTACCGAAGTGGGAGGAGTAAGCTTGGAAATGATCTCGATCTTTGCCCGATCAACCTCTATGCCTTGTTTGGAAATTTTGTGGCCCAGAACAATACCCTCGTCCACCATAAAGTGACATTTTTCCCAATTGAGCACAAGGTTTGTTTCCTCACATCTTTTGAGCACTTGCCGAATATTGTCAAGGCAATGCTCAAAGGAATCACCAACCAAAGAAAAGTCATCCATGAAAGCCTCTAAGAAATCCTCTACCATGTTTGAGAAGATTGACATCATGCTTCGTTGAAAGGTAGCCGGAGCATTACATAGCCCAAATGGCATCCGGCTAAAAGCAAAGGTCCCATACGGGCATGTGAATGTTGTCTTCTCTTGATCTTCTAAGGCGATGTTGATTTGGTTGTATCCAGAGTAACCATCCAAGAAGCAATAAAATGACCTTCTCGCTAGCCGATCTAGCATTTGATCAATAAAAGGCATAGGGAAATGGTCTTTGCAAGTTGCATTATTGAGCTTCCGGTAGTCCATGCAAACTCTCCACCCGGTCACCATCCTCGTTGGGATGAGCTCATTTTGGTAGTTTTGAATCACGGTCATGCCTCCTTTCTTTGGTACACATTGTAGCGGACTCACCCAAGGACTATCGGCAATGGGGTAGACAACCCCGACATCCAACCATTTTATGATTTCTTTCTTCACCACCTCTTGCATGGAAGGGTAACCTTCTTTGATGCTTCACGCTAGGTTTGCTTTCTTGCTCTAATTATATCTTGCGCTCACAAATCTCAGCTGGAATCCCTCGGATGTTTGCTATTGTCCACCCAATGGCCTGCCTGTGCTCCCTCAAGGTATTCAACAATTGTTCAACCTGCACATCATTCAACAAAGAAGAAATGATTACAAGTAGAGTTTCATTAGAGCCAAGAATTTATTCCTTAAGTGCGGTGGAAGTGGCTTGAGCTCATGTTGTGGGGGCTCGATGACTGAAGGCTTAGCGGGAGGAGTGACTCTATTCTTTAAGTCAAGAGAAAGTTTCTTCGGTGCATAAGTGTAGGACCCAAGGCCTTCCAATGCATTTACTGATTCCATGTATCCTTCCATATCTTCACCATCAAAATTTACCAAAATAGTCGCCAATGCCTCACCAAGGCATTATTCTTCCATTTTTACCTCGACTGCATCCTCTACCTCAGCAACAACATCAATGATTGAGATACTTTTGTATGCATGCGGTAATTTCATACCTTTACTCTCTTGAAAGGTAACCTCTTCGTCATTAATTCGGAACTTGATCTCATTTCGTTTCGAATCCATGAGTGCTCTTCCGGTAGCAAGGAATGGTCTCCCTAAGATGATAGGGATTTCTTTATCAACAGCACAATCAAGGATCACAAAGTCGGCAGGGAGGAGGAACTTCCCCACTATCACAAGAACATCATCAACAATTCCCACCGGTCTCTTTATTGAACAGTCGGCGATTTGCGACCTCATACTTTTAGGCCTAGGCATACCTAACCCCGCTTGCTTGTAAATAGCAAGAGGCATTAAGTTGATGCTAGCCCCAGTATCACAAAGGGCTCGTCCAAAATTGCACAACCCAATAGTGCACGGAATGGTGGAAGCTCCAGGGTCCTTTTTCTTTTGGATCGTGGTTGTAATGATGGAGCTACCCCGATGAGTCACATTCACCACTTCATTCTTGGTGGTTCTCTTTTTGGTGATTAAGTCCTTCGAGTACTTAGCAGAACCCGACATCTCTTGAAATGCTTCCACAAATGGAATGTTTACTGATAATTGCTTGAGAATGTCATAGAACTTTTCGAGTTTGCTATCATCGACCCTCCTAGCAAGTATTTGAGGGAAAGGAGGCGGAGGCCTAGGAATAGGTGCTAGAGTTTTTGGTGCCTCTATTACCTTTTCCTTAACCTACTCATGGTTCACTTCTTGAGTTCTCACCTTCTTCAGGAGTCTTTCAACTTCAACAATAATTGGCACCTCAACTTGTACCTTGACTTCTTGTTCGGAATCATCCACTTCAACCACTTGTTCATTCTCTCCTTGAAGTAGTTTCCCACTTTGCGTTGTGATTGCCATACAATGAGAAGTTGGGCCACTCCCGCTACCTTTTGGGTTTGCAATTCTGTCACTTAGGAGTGTGCCTTTTTGCATCGAATTTTTGCTCTCTTGAGAGATCTCTCATTTGCATCTCCAACTTTTGAATAGATGCGGTATGAGAGCCACAAGCTCGGTTATGTTCTTACTTGAAGTGTCAGATCTATCTTGATTTTGCAATACTCGTTCAAGCATGTTTTCCAACTTGGACTCACTCGAAGAACTTTCTTTCCAATGTGGAGAGTTTGAATATTGCCCCTTTGGTTAAACATAGGGGTTGGAACTCTGATTTGAAAACTTATTGTTGTTGTTACTCCAATTTCCTTGATTTGAACTACCTTGGTCATTTCACCACTATTGGTTGCCTTGCCCTTGCGGGTTAGGCCTCCATTGGTTTTGTTGTCCTAAACCTTGGCAGGGTTGCCTTTGATAACCTCCTTGAGAGTTTTTGACATAATTTGCTTCCTTGTAATCCTCATTTGACATGGGTTGAACATCTTCCACCACATTCACCTTTTTTGTTTGGCTTTCAGTGAACATCTTCGTCAACATATTGATATTGGTGGCAAGCCCGGCAATCACTTGATCTCTTTCTTGGTTCTCCTTAAGCATGTTTGTCAAGGAAGGAGTACCATATGCAATTTCACCCGTGGTGTTTGCTGAGTGCCAAGCTAGGTTATGTTCTACCATCTTGTCAAGGATTTGTGTGACCCTTGCAAATATTTTATCCATAAAGGATCCATTAGCTGCATTTTTGGCTATGGATTGATTCATAGGATCCAAGCCTATGTAAAAAATTTCCAACAAGATATTATTCAAAAAACCATGATTCAGTGACCTCGCCAAATATAGCTTGAACCGATACCATGCCTTATGTGGATGCTCTCCCGATAATTGCTTGAAAAAGAAAATTTTATCCTGGAGCTCGGACTTCTTGCTCTGCAGAAACCACTTTGCTAGGAAAGCTAGGACAAGTTCGGGCCAAGTATGAATGGAATTAGGCGGTAGATTTGGGATCCATTACCTTGCCTCTCCAGTTAGAGAGTAATTGAACACCCTCAACCTCAAGGCATCATCCGAGACGTGATTCTCCTTGTGCATCGCACACACACCCAAAAAAATTCTGAGATGTTGTGTCGGATCATCATTCGTGGAGTTTCAAAAAAAAACCCTCTGCTTTGAGCATTAGGATTAGACTGTGTTCCACCTTGAAGGTAGTAGCATAAACTCTTGGTGGGACAATGGCATTTGTATCTAATATACTCATCTATATCTGCAAAAATATTCTCTTCTTCCGACTCGCCCATATTTACCTAGTGACACCAAGAAAAGCAAGCAAGGTGTGATGGAATAGAAGAAGACGTAAAGTAAAGCACAGACTAATTAGTGATTTCAAAACCATATTCTCCGGCAACGGCGTTAAAATTTTATAAGCTCAAATTACACTTAAATAAATGGTGTAAGGCGGTCGGTGTCAAATATAATAACCCAACAAGGTTGGGTCGAATCCCACAGGAAATAGGTGTGACAAGATTACTTGAGTAGTGTGAAACTTGATGTAAGCCGTAATTCTACTCTGTTAGCTTAAACAAAGAATGTTGTAATTGTGAATTATCAAGAAAACTATTTTGTTATGAGAGTGTAATTAATTTGATAAGGAAACCAACGTTGTGTCCCCATAAATGGGATATAATGTTATCGTTGTTAATATGATATATTCCTAATGGAAGGTCCTTTGATATGTAAAAGGTTCCTAAATGACTACCCAATATTTCCCAATAGTTAGGTAGTATTTCCTCTTTATGATTTTCCAAAATATAAAAGAGTTGTAATTAATAACAACCAATTTATGCCAAATAGAACACACTTCTATTAAATAAGGTTTAAAGCCTTGAGTCTTTGTTATTCAATTCTACCAAACCCTAACCCACTTTTCCAAGTAAAGATAGAGTGAAATGGCATTAGTCAATGTTTGAAACCATCAACGTTATATATATATATATATATATATATATATTCAATAGTAAACACCCATTAATATATCCATTTAGGGTCCACAACCTTAGTATTTAAAACTAGCTACTCATACTAGAATCCAAGAACAAAGCAATAAATAAAGTCATAAAGCTTAAAAAGATGACAAGATTCTCTTCTTCAAAAGCTTCCAAAAGAATGGTGAATTCAATGCCTCCTTTTCAGACAAGATGCCCCACAAAACCCTAGTTATTCTATTTATAATGGGCTAAAAGTCGGGGTCATGATATGACAAAAATATCGTGCAGATCACATTTGCGACCGCAAAATAGGCCGCAAAACACTTTTGCGGCCTGCATAACTACAATTTCATCGCATAATTGAATGTCCAGTTGCCCAGTTTTCCATCGCAAATCCATTATGCGTTTCGCACATTGATTTCGCGATCTTATTTGATGTCGGAGAATGGTTCTCGCAGAAACTCTCTTTGCACTTCTGCACTCATTATGCGGTCCGCATAAGCGTTATGGTACCACAAAATTGACTGCAAAATCCACTCCAAAAATTGGGTTTATCTGCTTCACTCTGCGATTGGTTTGCGGCCCGCACATCACTTTTGCAATTGCAAATCTGCCGCATTTCTGCCCTTCTATGGGTTTTTGTCATCTTTTCCTTGTTCTTGGTTCTTCAAGTCTAGTTTGCTGCAAAACACCAAACTACATAATAATTGACTTAAAATGCTTTAAAAGACGAGCTACAACCTATGTAATTAGTATCAAAAGTTCCACAATTCTACGGCACATCAACACTCCCAACTTAGATTTTTGCTTGTCCTCAAGCAACTAAAATAAAGTCATCCTATCACGTACTAATCTATTTCTGAAAGATCACAAAGCAACAGTGACTATGGATGGTGCTGTCTATTAGCTAACAAGCATGTAATTTCTTTTATTCACCCTTCTTGGAAGACAAATATCATTTAGCGATTCGAATAATCAATTTGCAAATTTCGAGTCTCAAAAGCAATGACAGAGTGCTACCCACAGCTAGGTACGCACTTGTAACGTACTTCAAGAAACCTAGCTTCTGCTAAATCTTGAAATTCATGCGTGCTCTCATCAAAGAAAATCCCAACTCTAAGTATGTAAAGGGGATACAATCAAACACTCTTGCACTCAGAAAGAAAGCTAAATGCTACAAGTATCAGTCCATATGCTTGCCCTATATTTGAACTCATTGCTATCTCAGAAATGATTGGTTGTAGATCATAAAGGACTTTTCTTAGGTTGTAGTGTAGGCTTTGGGACGGGTTGGACTAACATGTGGGAATATAGTGGTTGTACGCTCCTTGAACTCTACATACTCTTTGCTTCTTTACAACATAGCCCTTATTGACCTCTAGTTACCGACATTGACAACACATTATTTACACAAATCTCTCCCCGGCAACGGCGCCAAAATTTGATACGCTCAAATTATACTTAAATAAATAGTGTAAGGCGGTCGGCGAATTCCACAGGGAATATGTGTGAAAAGGTTACTTGAGTAGTGTGAAACTTGATTTAAGTCGTAATTCTACTTCGCTAGCTTAAACAGAGAATGTTGTAATTGTTAATTATCAAGAAAGCTATTTTGTTATGAGAGTGTAATTAATTTGATTAACCAAACCAAGGTGTTGTCCCCATCAATGGGATATAATGCTATCGGTGTTAATATGATATATTTCTGATGGAAGGTCCTTTGATATGCAAATGGTTCCTAAATGACTACCCAATATTTCCTAATAGTTAAGTAGTATTTCCTCTCTTTATGATTTTCCAAAATATAAAAGAGTTGCAATTAAGAACAACCAATTTATGCCAAATAGAACACACTTCTATTAAACAAGGTTTAAAGCCTTGAGTTTTTGTTATTCAATTCTACCAAACCCTAACCCACTTTTCCAAGTAAAGATAGAGTGGAATGGCATTAGTCAATGTTTGCAACCATCAACACTAAATGAAGCATGAGAAATAAATAAATACCAACCAACCGTTATATATATATATATATATATTCAATAGTAAACACCCATTAACATTACACCCATTTATGATCCACAACCTTAGTATTTAAAACTAGCTACTCATACTAGAATCCAAGAACAAAGCAATAAATAAAGTCATAAAGCTTACAAAGATGACAAGATTCTCTTCTTGAAAAGCTTCCAAAACAATGGTGTATTCAATGCCTCTTTTTCAGAAAAGATGCCCCACAAAACCCAAATTATTCTATTTATAACGGGCTAAAAGTTGGGGTCAAGATATGACAAAAATACCCCTACTGATCACATCTGCGACCGCAAAACGGGCCGCAGAACACTTTTGCGGCCCGCATAACTACAATTTCATCGCATAATTTAATGTCCAGTTGCCCAATTTTCCATCGCACATCCATCATGCGGTCCGCACATTGGTTTCACCGTCTCATTTGATGTCGCAGAATGGTTCTCGCAGAAACTCTCTTTTCACTTCTACGGTCATTATGCGGTCTGCATAAGCGTTATGCGACCGCAAAATTGATTCCAAAAACTGGGTTTATCTGCTTCACTCTGCGGTTGGTTTGCAGCCCACGCACATCACTTTTGCGGTTGCAAATTTGCCGCATTTCTGCCCTTCTATGGGTTTTTGTCATATTTTCCTTGTTCTTGGTTTTTCAAGTCTAGTTTGCTGCAAAACACCAAAAATACATAAGAATTGACTTAAAATGCTTTAAAAGACGACCTACAGACTATGTAATTAGTATCAAAAGTATCGCAATTCTACGGCACATCATTATGCGGTCGTATATTGGATTGCAAAACGACCCTTCGAAATTGGCCATTTTTTTGTTGCACTCTGTGGCCCACAGAATGATTCTGCGGCCGCATAGTGGACCGCATAAATGCCCTGCTCTGCCAAAAAAATTGTCTTCAACTCCCCAACGCACTGCTTTATCCAAAAAAATCATCAAACACATAAGCTACCTTGGCATCACAAAAACCCGGGTTCTAGGTGAAATTTTTACGGGGCCTTACATCCTCCCCTCTTAAGATAATTCGTCCT